CGTCAATAGCCGATTAAAAATTCGCTAAGATTAGAAATGACACGAAAGCGGATCACGTCGCTGCAATGCACGAAAAAGGTCGGTTCTCGACTGTCTCGGCACGCAATTATTATTTAAAAGCTCAACTTTTTTCATTAGCCAGATAACGGCACCGCCTTTCCCACGAGGAACATAAGCGGTGCCATTACCTGTTCGCTCTCAGTTCTCGCTCGCCGATACTTTCGACGAGTTTTCATCCCTGAAACTTACCAACGCTGCTTTAATCTCTCGTATAATAATTTAACCTCTACAAAGGAAGGTGGGATTGGTTCTTTCAAAGACTCGTTAAGTTATCGGGTTTGGCTTACCCCTACCACGAGAGCCAAGAAAACAAAAAAAGAGCAAACTAATTTATTAAATTGTGCTTGAATCTTTTTTTAATCGTTCATTCATGAGTAGGTATTTATAAATTTAAAAAAAAATTGGGCTCTCTCGTTTGAAAAAAGGGATGACCCTACTTGGGACAACCGTATTGCCGAAGGTTATAGGGGCTTCGAGGAGAGAATGGACCGAACTTTTATCAGTGAAATCGTCCTTCATTAACTCTGGTCTGACATACTTTGGTATTTTGGACCCGACTAATTCATTGAGGCCATACTTAATTGCCCGACGGAGTAAGGTGAAAATTTTTTCCGCTGGGGAAAAAGTTTCTGTTACGTGAACCGCAGTGCGGCGTTCTTCATTGGTCGCACTGTTAGGTATGAAAAACCGTGATTCCGTTCATGCAACCGGGGTTTTCTTTAAATTTGGTTCATGCTTTCAAACGATTTTTACGGTTAGGTTTGGCTTAAAAGTTTGGTCATACAAACCGAGGTACAGCTTATGTATTAAAAAGTGCAATATTACATGGACCAAACAGCGCGGTCAATATTAGACACAGTACTCCGGTTCGTGTGGTATGTTAATTACTATTAGCGACTCCTAAATGTACCTATTTTGACGCTTGCGTGAAGGAAAGAGGTATTCTACAAAATTGAAGGCGATTTGTAACCGTCATACACGGCAAAAAGTCCAAAATGGAGTCGACAGTTGGTCAGTCCGTTGATACATTATGCACTTCGTCAGCATAAAAATAACGATTACAAAAGATGAAATGTCTGCGTAGGAAAAACAATACAACGGCAATGATACGTGATCGCTCTGACCATTTCTTCGAAGTTAACATTAACAATTATTAATTTGAAAAATCGGAAATTTTACTTCACTTTAAGTCGCAAAAATGTCCCTTAGACGATGGCTTTGATATTAAATATAGCCTTGAAGCAGCTTTGCAAAGACCGCATTGTGAGCCAATACGTAACATTAATGGAAGTCCGATATGTTTGAAGGGAATTATGAAAGATGCTGTGAATAAACAAGAGTGTTCTACTGCGTGGCAGAAAGAAAAATTAAAAATACATTTTGTCTCACAACCAACGGCTGAGGTCGTTATTTGTCATCTGCGTTTCTAATGGGGCAGTCTCTCAATTGAAGAGAGAGGGTAACGTTTCTATTTTAAGCGATCGTTTATCGACTGATTGCTTTGCCGATTGATTGATTGGCTGGCTGACCGGTCAATTGGACGTATTTATGCTAAAAGGAACTAAGTGCATGGGGTTTGCGTGTGACGTAGTTCCTTTTAGCGTAAATACGTCCAATTGATTGGTTATGTTTAATTACGGCAGGTTTGTTGTTCGCTAATCGAGAGATGACACAGAAATACATTAAGTTATGAGGGTGATTTATTTTACAGACACTAGAAAAAAAAGGTATCTTGGATCCCGAGTCCCGAATCTTAAAAAATTGGACAAGAAAAAAACTCTGGATTCAATTGGATTTTTGCTTGAATTGAGAACGAGGCCTCTTAATTTCAGCGGATTTATTTTTGATTCAAGCAAAAATCCAACTGAATCAAAGTATTTTTTCTTATCAAATTTTTTAGGAGTCTGGATTCTAGATCCAAGAGACATTTTTTTCTTGGGACGTCAAATTTTTTCAAGTCATCTCCTCAGAGGGTGAATTAAAATTCAAATGTGCACGAATTTCATCAAAAATACGTAGGTAAGAATCCGTTTTCCCATTGTAACTTAAAACGGTCGAGGATACAGTTCTGCTCTTGATAAGTTTAAAATCTCAAGAAAAAATGAAGTAGACCGGATTTAAGCTACATTTCTGGGGACCGAGAGAATCTGTTTCGGAGGGGCAAACACTTCAGTCGCAGGTTAAAAGGATCTGTACTGCCCATTAAATGCGTCATCTGGCGGCATTTCCCATTTAAACACATGCATTTTAGCAGATTATATCAATTTGTCATTTCTTCTCCAATAATTGTTCAAATCTAGAACCAAGGGTATCCTCTTGCTCAGTTCACTCAGTAGTTTCCACTTAAACACGAAATTCGTCAAATTTCAGACACCTGCAAATTCTCTATCAACCTATTTGAGCCGCGGTACGGTTATCTCATTTCTTTTCCATCTTGAGGTTATTTCTGCCTGACCCCTCCACAAAATTTGATGAGAAACACGACTCAAGAGTTTCCCCCATAAAGTCGAGCACTGTCAAGTCAACGTATGAGCGGATTCCAAGCTCGAGCACTATCGAAGACTTGGGAGCGAGTGACCTCCATTCACGTGCATTGCCACTTGTGGCACGACACGACGCGAGATGCCGCAACGAGCGACGCCTTCACTTATTGCTCTTTCACCAGTGTCTCGAGTCGTGAGACACCTCGCGTCAAAACACCAAGCAATGAGCTCAACTCAACGAAAAGAACGACTCCTGAACTGGGTCATGATAAAAAAATTTCATTCACTAAATTTAGGCACCAGCTTAACCCTCGCAGGACTGAACACTAGTGAGATACCTCGCGTCAAAACGCCATGCAATAAGCTAGACTCAACGAAACAAACGACTCTTGAACTGGGTCATGATACAAAAATTTCATTCACTAAATTTAGGCATCAGCTTAACCCTCGCAGGACTGAATACTTGTGAGATATCTCGCGTCAAAACACCATGCAATGAGCTCAACTCAACGAAAAGGACGACTCTTGAACTGGGTTATGATGAAAAAATTTCATTCACTAATTTTTGGCACCAGCTTAACCCTCGCAGGACTGAACAGAACACTAGTGAGATACCTCGCGTCAAAACACCATGCAATGAGCTCAACTCAACGAAAAGAGCGACTCTTGAACTGGGTCATGATAAAAAAAATTCATTCACTAAATTTAGGTACCAGCTTAACCCTCGCAGGACTGAACACTAATTCGGGCAGGCTCGTGCCTAACCAAAAATTTACAAAATTCCACCTAGGACAAACCTCTGCCACCCATGAGCACTGCACCGTATGTTATTCCATGCATTTGAACTCTGAATCGCGCGGCTACACTTTTAACCGGGGTGTCTACTAAAACAGGCTGACCAAAAATCAGGACTTCGGAGTGCTTTTTCAGTACATTCCCCAAAAATTCGGTACCTCCTCAACAGAAAAATCAAGTACTTTATAGTGCCTTCATTTGACGAAATTCGAAAAATTTCACAAATTTGAATTTCTCGCTCAAATTGCGACACATATGACAAAAGTTCCGAATCTTCTTGCGGGATTTCCGCACTTTTTCAGTACTTCCGGACCGCCCTTAAAAATCAGCACTATTTCCGGCCTTGTAGACACCTTGTTTTACTCTTCATACCGCACGCCTACGCTCCGTGGAGCACGGTCCACCCCGCGCCGAAGTTAATGCCACTCGCGCCTTCCTATTACTGGCAAAACTTGATTAAAAATTAACTTTAAAAACACTAGAATGCATAGTTTCTGAAATTGGTGCGACAGTGCCGATGAACAGTGGTGGGATTTACACTAAATCGCGATTCGTCGTTCTGTGACTGGGAAATTCTCTTGGAATCGTCAATTTTTGCAAGTTGTCTCCACCGAATGATACAGGATCCATGAGGTGTCGTTATCTCAATTTCTTCCGGATATAAATGTCTGCTGTAATCCAAACAAACCCCGGCTGAGGAACACGGGCCAAACTCTAGCTGAGAGACGCATATTAAACTCAGTCTTGAGGACACTGACTACACTCCTTTATACTCGAGCTAATAGACACTGGCTGACCTTCGGGTAATGTACACCCGGCTAAACCTCAACTACACTCCGGCTGATAGACATCAGCTTAACAGGCCGAGTGAAAGACCACCGGATATTCGACACTCGGGCTACATTCCCGGTAAACTCTAATGGACACTGGCTGACCTCCGGCTGACAGACACGGGCTGAACCTCAACTACACTCCGGCTGACAGACTAGGGCTGAACCTCAACTACACTCTGGCTAGTAGACACCCGACTTCACTCCGGCTATTCTACACTCGGGCTGCATTCCCGGTAAACTTATTAGACACTAGCTGACCTCCGGCTGACAGACACGAGCTGAACCTCTACTCTGCCGTGCTAAGGAAGAACGCCGTATGAGCCTCCAGACGTTGCCAAATTTACTCCAATAAAAACCGAATTCAGAGGGAAAATCGTGAATATTTTTTCCCAACATTTTAAGATAATTTCGTACGCACTTTCATCGAAAATATCTGAAAATCTTAAAGAAAAATGTGCATGAATGCCGTCAAAAATACATGTTTTTAGTAAGGGAAATTTGACAACTCTTGAATGTTCATACGACGTTTTGCCTTAGCACGGCCGCAGTACTACACTCCGGCTGACGGACACCTGCTGAACCTCAACTACACTCCGGCTGGTAGACACCCGACATTACTCCGGCTATTCGACACTCGGGCTTCACTACTGGTCAACTTAATCGACACCACTGGCTGACCTCCGACTGAACCTCAACTACACTCCAGCTACTCGACACTCGGGCCACGCTCTCTGTGAACTCCGGGCGAAAACGACGACGGCTACAACCCGGGTGCACTCCGGCTCGACTGGGATGTTTAAAAGGGCGTTGGATGAGAGAAAGGACTTACTGGCTTGCTCGAGGCGGGGTTCGCTGCCGCCGCTCCTCATGCTCTGGTTGCTGCCGGCGAGCTCGGCGTTGAGGGCCCGGCGGCGGACCGACTTGCCGCCGGTGAGTCTGGCGCTCTGAGATCGGGTCGCGGGTCTTCTTCGTCGCGGGGTGCCGGTGCCGGCGGCCGCCGCCGCCGCCGCGTCCAGGGGCGGCGTCCCCGGCGGCGGGATCCCCGACAGGAACACCTCCATACTCGAGATCCCCGGCGCGCAGATCGACGCCGAGCGGCCCTTTTCGCGCTGAGCAGCGAGCAACGCTTCGTCCGTCATTGTCATCGTACGCACAGCAACTGAGGCGCGGGCCAGCTCCCGTGCTCCGCGCCCCCTCGCGCCGACGCCTGCGCCCCTTTCGCCGACCGGCCGACCCGCGCCGCGCCGCGCCGCTCGGCACCGAGATGGAAATAGAAAAACTCGCCGCCGGGTTGCCGGCTCCACACCCCGGTTCCATTCGAAAAGCCGACACGCGATGGACCACCGGACATGCTCGGGAATCGAGCATCAAAATGTACACTGGAAAAAGTCTCGTGAATCCGGAGTCGAGACTCGTGACAAACATGACAAGAAAAAACACTCTCAATTCAATCGGATTTATGCTTGAATCGTAAAGAAATAAAGA